CTGGTGCACTCCCATACCACTTGGTGTAGGGGACCCACTGCTTGTCCCCCACAGTCGCCAACACCCTGTTCTTCACAAGGGCGACCTGCCGCAGTGCAGTCACCCAAAACGGATCCGGCAGCCCTGCACGCCCAAGGAGAGTGCGAGCACCTTCCTGCAGGGTCCGGTTGAAGCGCTCAGCCACACCGTTCTGCTGAGGGTTATAGGGAACCGTGAGTTGATGCTGGATCCCCTTCTTCTTCAGCACCGCCTCAAAATCAGCGCCAATGAATTCTCCCCCGTTGTCGGTGCGGATCACCTTCACCTTGTGTCCGCTCTCCCTTTGAGCTCTCGGCATCCACTCCTTAAGAACAGCCGCTGCCACTTCCCCCTTAGTCTTGAGAGGGTACTGTAATAGTCACAATAGGCTTGAATGTGCCTAAAACGAAAGACAGAGAGCACAGACGGATTTCTGCACAGCGGCTTCAAACGTTGATAGCGTTCTGCTCACAGCTGCAAATGACCTGATTCAAATTGGATCTGGAGCGTCTTCACGTCGTCTACAATTAGCAATTTAGATTGCACGATTTGATAAAGAATTGACGACACAGCGTCGGTTTGAACGAACGGTACTATGGCAGCCACTATAGTCTTAGAACACAAGATAGGAAGAGTTACGAGTTGGGAATGACTCCCAGCTCCTACAAACCCCAAGAGCCGAGGTACAGTGATGTGGAACAGTGCCACACTGTCCCCAACCACGAAGGGTCTCGAAACTACCCTTCACTAGGGCCTACACCAAGTGAAATGTTACACTACACAAAGTAATGTAAATATCTTCAATATCTTGAGGTGTACCCTTTTTGGCGAGCTTCGAAATCACTTGAGGCTTGACACCAAGGCTCGGGCTCTTCATCACAAACTCATCCTTGAGTTCTTGATGGGTCTGCTGCACACACCTGCGACACGCCGAACGTTCGACACAGGACAAAATAGAAACCGCGCACGACAAAATAGAAACCGCGCGCGAGACACAAACGACCGCGTAACACGCGTCTAGCGATAACTCGCTATTGACTCGACACACACACTCGACATCATGACTCAACATTCACACACAATTATAAGCATGAAATATATATTATCCCATGCCCTCATACCATTCCATACACACACACATTCACGCACACGGACAACAAGCCGAGTGCAAACCGTAGGGTTGCACCAACAAACTCCCCCTCGGATTGTTGGCCTTAGGATATGTTGCTCTCTCAGTTTAGAGCCATCCCAGCCAGCTTGCAACACTTCCAATGCTGCTGCTCCACCAGCCTCTTGGTCATCATGTCAGCCGGCTGCCCCGTGGTCTTCACGTAGCGCAACTCAACTTCACCCGCGGTTACCATGCTCCTCGTCCAATGCCACTTCACCCTCATGTGCTTCGTGAGTCCATGCAACACAGGGTTCTTAGAAAGAGCAATGGCACCCTGTCTGTCACAGTACAGTGGGGTAGGTCCTTGCTGCTCCTCCCCCAATTCAGCCAACAAACGCCGCTGCCACACAATCTCCCGTACGGCACGGAAGAGTGCCATGTACTCGGACTCCACCGAGCTCAAAGCTTGGTCAACCTGCTTATTGCTCTCCCAAGCAGTTGGGCCTCCACCAACACAGCATATGAAGCCTCCCACACTTGTCATGTCCTCTGGTTCTGATGCATATGAAGCATCCGAGTAGGCGGTGAGGAACAAACGCCCGGGTTCAACACCATCCGCGCCCTTTTGGCGCCTTTGTGCCGCCGCCGAGTATTGCAGCCCAACGGTCGGTGTTTGGCCAAGATACTTGGCCACCCTCATTCCAGCTGCTACCTGCTCCTCATTAGGGCATTGCACAACCCTAGCCAGCTGCCCGGTAGCAAACGCGACGTCCGGTCGGGTGTTTACCGCCGCATACATGAGGCTGCCCACCAACGAGTGAAATCGGCGCCTCTCCTCTTCACCAACGCTCTCCTCCTCTGGTCCCTTCACACACTTGAACCCAGAGGGAAAGGGTGTAGCCACATGGCCTTCACTCTGCCCAAAGTTGGCAGCCAATGCCTCCAGGTACTTTCGTTGATGCACCCGCATGCACCGCTTCTCCACATCTCGTTCGATGTGGAGCCCAAGGTAGAAGCTCACGTCACCAAGGGCCTTGCACTTGAACTTGTCTTGAAGCTTCAGCATCACCTCCTTCACAAGGTCAGAAGAGGGTGAGAAAATGAGGATGTCATCCACATAAACCACCATGAAACTCCTCTGCTCCCCCTCGCCAAGCATGAACAAGGAGTGATCGGCCGTTGAGGGAGTGAAGCCGATCCCCTCCAACACTTCGCGCAGCTTCATGTACCATTGCCTAGGGGCCTGCTTCAGCCCATAGAGGGCCTTCTTCAGCTTCCACACTCTGCCACTACCATCATCAAACCCCTCTGGCTGCGCCATAAAAATCTCCTCCTCAAGGATGCCGTTAAGGAATGCCGTTACGATGTCCATTTGCTTTACTACCCATCCTTTGATGGCGGCTCCCGCGAATAGGGTTCGCAGCGTCGTCGGCTTCACCACAGGGGCAAACAGCTCCTTGAAGTCCACCTTCTCCTTCTGCTGGTACCCCTTGGCTACAAGCCTAGACTTGTAGCGCTCGATCTTGCCGTCGGCATCCGACTTGATTTTGAAGAGCCACTTGGACGTTATCGCCGTACGCCCCTCCGGTAGCTCCACCAATTCAAACGTGTCATTCTCCTCAATGCTCTTCAGCTCACTCTCCATGGCCTTCTTCCACTCCTCAGCATCACTACTCTCCAAAGCCTCCTTGAGAGTTGCTGGTTCTCCCGGCATCTCCACCGGAGAGAAGAACGCGAAGGCACACTCCTCGTAGTCACTCTCCTCGTCGTCTCCGACCATCATTGCCGCTCCGGCCAGGGCTGTCTTGCCCTGCTTTCCCGGCGCATCATAGGTCAGCCTATTAGGGGTTTGAACTCTCCTCTTCCCCCTTCCTTCCTCCTCAGCTGCAGGGACTTGAAGGCCTTGGCGTTGCTGCGGTGTGGCTCGAATCCGTGGAGCACTCGTAGTACGGGAAGGGAGTGACGGTGCACGCTCGCTCACTTGCTGCACCTCCTCCTCTTCTTCCTCTGCATCATTGGCCTCCTCTCCCCCATTCACAAGGGAGGATTGCCTTGTGGTTGTGCTGCCGCTGCTCAGCTCCAAAGGCAGCTCCACATGCTCCAAACCGGAACTCTTCACCTCCCCAAACCGCACGCCTATCTTCGCCTCATTCTCCGCCTTCCAATCCTTGTACATGAAGTTCTCCATGAACTTGCAGTCCCTGCTCACCAAGAACTTCTTGGTGAATGGGTCCCAAAGAAGCCATCCCTTGCTGTTTTGAGCCATGCCCAAGTGCACGGCCCACACCGCCTTGGCACCAAGCTTGTTGTGCCGAAGATGCTTAGGCACGAGCGCCATGCACATGCACCCGAACACCCGAAGCATATCCACCTTTGGCTTCCTTCCTAGCCACTCCACATAGGGCACCCATTTGTCTGCTCCCACATGAGTCAAGGCTCTGTTCTTGGCCACACACGCGCTCCGCATCGCATCAGGCCAGAAATAGTCGGGTAGCCCGGCTTCAATGAGCAACCCGCGTGCCGCCTCCGTGATTGTGCGGTTCGCTCGCTCGGCGATGCCGTTCATTGCAGGGGAGTATGGCATGGTGAGGGAGTGCCGAATACCATTCTTCTTCAGCCACAACCCAAACTCCTTGCTCAGGAACTCTCCAAATCGATCGGTGCGGATTGACTTGACTAGACGGTCTTGTTGCCGCTCCACCATCGGGAACCAATCCGTCTTCAACGTTTCAGCCACGTCGCTCTTCTTGGCCAGCACGTACACCCAAGTCATGCGGGTGTAGACATCCACAATGGTGAGAAAGTACTCAGCTCGAGCAGCTCCAAGCTTCAAGGGGCCCACCACGTCCATCACCACCTCATCAAGTGGTGCCTTAGCCGTTGCCTCCGAACTAGAGAACGGGTAACGGGTGAATTTGGCTTGCATGCACGTCGGGCAGCCAAGTACCTCATCGGGCTCCCCCTTCACACGTATGCCAGCAACCATCTCATTCTTCACTAGCTGCTGCAAGATGGGCAGGGCCACATGCCCCATTCGCCGATGCAAGGTGAGCCAATCACACACCCCCGTAGCCGAAGTCGGATTGGAGAATGCCGCACTCGCAATGGTGCCCCACATGCTCTCTCCGTACTCCTCCTCCGCTACTGCCTTGGGGTTCTCCTCACCCTTGTGCTGCTCCTTGGCTGCTGCACCACTCTCCTCATGTTCACCAAGCTTGCTGGTCCCTCCAAGATTGCACTTCTTAGACTCAATCTCCTTAGCGCGACCGTTCGTGCCATCGCCGCTACCAACCGCTTCACCCTTGGTGCTGATGCTTGCTGCCACTTGCCTCTCCTTAGGCATGGGGACCACAGGGATTTGCCACATCTCGTTGTAGACATCTCTATCCTCGTGAAGGTCCCAAAGAATCCGCTTGCCAAGCCTCGCGGTGTAGGTCTTAGCTCCCTTCGAGCTCGTGTCCATGCCGGCCTTTTGCAACCGCCGCACGGAAATCAGGTTGGCAGCAAGGTTGGGCACCCAAAGCACGTTCTTGAGGCCCACCATCTTCCCATCAGCACCCTTGAACATGGCCTTGCCCATGCCTTTCACCTCTGCTCGCTGCCCCAAAGCCGATGTCACATGCTTCACCGGTGACGGCTCAAGTTCGGTGAGCAAGTCCGGGCGAGGTGTCATGGTATAGGTAGCGCCGCTATCGATCACCCAATAGTCCAGGGAGTGTAGGGTGACTTTCCCCACAGCTGCTGGCTCCTCAAAGCTTTCATCCTTCTCTGGACCAGCCGTTGCTTGTGTTGACTTTTCCTTGTGCACCTGAACCTTGTGCACCTGAACCTTGCACAGCGCCACCTCGTGCACGTTCACCACTTGGCGGCTTCATGCCTGGGGGTGCCCATCCCTCAGGCCGGCTAAAGCACTTGAACCACGGGTGTCCAGCCTTCTTGCAGTACCAGCACGCTCCCTCCATTCGGGTACTCCCCCTGCCACCAGAGCTCCCATGCCCCTCGTTATAGTCACCTCGGCCTCTCCCTCTGCCAAAGCCTCTCCCACGGCCTCGACCTCTCCCTCCCCCTCTTCCTCTGCTGCCTCCTGCAGCTCCATATCCCTCAGCAGTTTTGTTGGCAGCACCACCACCCGTGTGGCACCTGCGGAAGTCCTCCTGCAGAATCTGCTGCCGTAGCCACTCTGGTGTCCATTGGTCCTGCTGAGTGTTGAGGGTGGGGATGAGGTTGTCCCACGAGTTGTCGAGCACCGAGATGATCTTGGTACACTGCTGCATCTGCGACACATTGCTGCCCGCTGCTGCCATCCTCGCATAGGTGTCCTTGATCTTGTCAAGGACCAGCTTCACATCATCGCCGGGTCGCATGGAGAGGGCAGCCAGCTCCTTCTCCAACACAATTACCATCGGCAGCGTGTTGGGCTGAATCACGTCGCGCAGTAGCTTCCACGCCTTTGGTCCGAAATCATCCAACTCCACCAAATCCTTGATGTGTTGGAACATATCGTTGTTGACCGATTGGAGGATTAGGTCGTACAGCACCGCACTCTTCTCAGTCCACCGATCGCGGGCATCTCCTTCCTCTGGCATCTTCTCTTCACCCATCGCAAGTTTCAGCAGCTTGTAGCGCTTGAATGCACTCCGCATCCGCCCGCTCCATTCCTCATAGTTTGAGCCATCCAATGCCTCGATCTTGGATGGTGGCGGCTCATTTCTCTTCTCAGCTGCATCTCCACTCCCTTGACTCATTTCCTCTGCTCCCAAACACAGGTTCCAGCTCCCCCTTTGCTGTCCACACCGAAGTCCCACTCAATTTCCACAAGTGTCGGCGCCAACGAAATTTCGGCAGAGTTTCCCATTAGCGGAAGTCACATGCAACCTCCAGAACTCCACTTAGGCACGCCCACAGGCCATGGTGGGTCTAGGAGGGTCTTCACACTTCAGTAGACTCTCCACAAAGTCCTTAATCAGCTCTGATACCACTTGTCAGAGACTAAGGACGGAGTCTATGAAGATTAGGGGCTGAAATATCTCAAAATCGTCAACTACAATTCTGGACAGAAAAGTCGTCGTCACAAGAAACGTCGTCAACGATTAACGCACAGTTAGAATTCTCTCAAACTCGAGTATGTTGTATCCCTTGACTGTGGCTATCTTTCTCAATTTGAATAGTATCAAAATATGGCGTATAACTCGAGTTATGAACTTCGGCGCACTAGGGGGTATGCTGCCATAGAAAACGTAACTCAATCACAATTATCTCACAAGTTCACACAAGAAAGTTAGAGTAGCAATAGAACCAAGTAGGAGGGGATAAGGAGGACGAGAGGGAAGGTCCCAAGGGAGTCCCCAACCAAGGAAACCCCATTCCACACAATTCCCCTCTCTATAGGCACCCCAACTTTGACATTTGTCACTTTCCCAACTCATGCCATCCACCTCACCCAACTTGGCCACACTTGCCAACCTGGTTTGGCTTCTCCCAACCACTTGGCATCATCTACAGTGATGGTATCGAATTTACCAACCCCCAAAAGTCTGTACCCCATATTGAGTCAACCCGCAAATTCCTATAGTCGCTGCATCTCAATCAAAACTTCGAACGATCATATCTTTCTCGTTCTTGCTTCGATCGCAGCGATTCTTGGTTCGTCGGGAAGCTCTTAAGCAGAGGAGTCACTTCAGATATCTGCCCAAGCTAAATAGCATTCACACACACTCAGAAAATCCAAATCATGCCAAACACAGATTCTTGCACACACCACGCATGCAACGCACGAACATATGATGGGAGGTAGACAGACGTGAATGCAAATGATAGCATCACATAGCAGTACTCTGTAGTGAGTACAACCCAATTTAGGGTTTGCTATTTGTATCCCAACTTTCTATAGTGAAACCCCTCATTCTCTTTCTCGACTTTCCTCTCACAACATCACTCTCTCGACATTCAATGCTTAGCTCCTCTCTCTCGCCATGGCTCCTAAGGATAAGTCACTACTATTCTAACAGTCCTAACTGGTCACGCAGACGCTTGCTGGGTTGACGACTTGGCTACGCAGCGGTCGTCATAGGGTTACAACTTCAGCCTTGGCTCCGGTTCTGTCTCTTGGCGGTCTACCCGCTCTTCTTCTGTTCTCAGCTCCAGTTGTGGGGCTGAGATCTACGTTGGGGCCATGGCTGCACAGGAGTTACGCTGGCTCACCTACCTGCTGACCGACTTGGGAGTGGCGCCTCGTTCACCTCTAGTTCTGTACGTCGACAACAAGGCCATGCTTGCCTTGTGACAGGAGCACAGACTGGAGCACAGAACGAAGCACATTGCTCGGCGCTACTTCCTTGCTCGAGAGTTGCAGCAGCGTGGTCAGCTTCGTCTTGCTTACGTGGCCTCTAGGGCCAACACTGCTGATGTTTTCACCAAGGCACTTCAGCCTTGTGATCATCAGCGTTTCTGTACTGTTCTAGGCCTTGTACCTACTGTGCCTCACTTGCTTACCTCTTGACTCTGCTTGTACTGTGATCTCTATACCTATACCTGCATGTGAACTTGCTAGGTTGTGTTCACTGTATTGTTTGTTCTCTTTTATATAACTCTGCATATGAACTGGCCTTGTGGCCATTTGCTTGTGCTCAGAATGTGTGGTGACTTTGTGATCCACCCTGAGCTTGCTTTGCCTTTCTTGTTTGGTCTTGTTACCTCTTGTTCTCCCACACTTTGCCTATGGGGGTGTGTCAAACTTATATGCTATAGTCTATCTAGGCTGTAGTGGGGTAGTTCATATAGGGTACAACACTTTTAGGTTTCCTACTTGTACCCACCTCCTTGCTAGTTCAGTCATTCATTCCTTCACTATTCTGACAGGGGAGCTGCAGCGGGATCTGACACTCACCGTCGCGACTACCGTGATACAGTACCTGGGACTCAATATACAAGACGGCGACAACGCAATCTACCTCAGCGCCGAAAAATACACGGACACCATCGCTAAACTATTCGGACTTACTCTAGCTACCATCACCACACCATACCGCTACACCGACGGAAATCGCGAAGTCTCCACCCTACTCAAACCCGACGGCATTCGCGACTACCAACAAAAGCTATGCTGTCTACTCTTTGCAGCCGTTACCTGCCGACCAGATCTATCTTACTCAGCTAGTCAACTCGCCACCTACCTCAAGAAGCCCGAAGCAGAACACATGATGGAGCTCGACCGTGCACTTCACTACCTCGTCAGCACCCCGACGATCGGACTAACCTACCACAAGACCGGAACTACGACACCCAAGTTAATCGGCTACGTCGACGCCAATCACGCTGGAGATTCTGACAACAGGCGATCTCGAACTGGCTACATCTATCGACTCGAACCTATCGGCCCTATCTCATGGCAGTCAAACAAGCAAGAGCTAATCGCTCTCTCCTCAGCCGAATCAGAATATATCGCACTCTGCTCAGCCACTAAGGAAGGACTATATCTTCGCGAATTGCTAGAACAAGCAAAATTGGCTCAGTTACCCAGCTTCTCCCTCTTCTGCGACAACCAATCGGCCATTCGCATAGCGAACAAAAATGGGTTCGCGAATCGAACGAAGCACATCGCCCCCCGGTACTTCTTCGTAAAAGACGAAATCAAGGAGGGAAGTCTCAAGTTATCCTACTGTCCCACATCCAAGATGGCAGCCGATTACTTGACCAAGAAACTCGGAAAACAGATGTTCGGGTACTGCATGCTGCTGACTGGACAAGGACACGCCATTAGCAGCGACACTCCATAAGCGAAGGGGGGTGTTAGAAACAAGTAACTTAACGCTTCTGAAGTATCGAAGTATCAACACGAAACGGAGCAGACTACAGTGAAGCAACACACGAGTCAACAAAAGTAACAGCTGGAGGTTACGCGAAGGTCAAAGGTCGCTGGCCTTTGACTCGACGAAAAGTACAGTGCGACAGCAAGGACACATAACTGACTCGATACTGAGCAGTTACCCGAGTCGTCAATGTATTGAACCGCAATAGCAAAACAGTTAAAGTACCTCCGGGGCCTCTAGTACCTCCCGCATGAACACTTCCAGGCTCCGCAGCTACCGGCCGCAGAGAAGAACGAGTAGGGAACTGCGGGACGGTCGGGAAGCCAGGGGGTTACGCGGGGCGAGGCCGCCGAGTCGAGGCTGCTGTGTCCTCCACGGGAGTGACCTCCACGCCCACACCCCCTTCACCCCCTGAACCAACACCACGAGCTCCAGCAGCCCCAGCACCCTCACCCTCCGCAACTGCTCCTCCCGCACCCCCAGACTCGATAGGAACTGGACGATGCAGGGGGGACGACTGCGGAGTAGTGTGCGACCCACCTGACGAGGCAGGACGCGAAGGGGGGGGGGGGCTACCGGGGCGACTGGGGGGGGGGAGCTCAAGGGTGAGGAACAGCGGGGGGGAAAACACCTCAGTACCTCGGTTGGGGCGACTCCTGTAGTAACAGACAGACTCGTCAAACGTGACGTCCTGGGAACTGAAGAACCCGTAGGTGAGAGGGTCGTAGAACACCCAGCCGGCGGTGTCCAAAGGGAAGCCAAGAAAGACATAGGCACGAGTGCGCAGAGACAACTTGTTCGCGCCAGGGGCGCGAGTGTTAGCCAAGGAGCCCCTGACGCGGAAGTCAGCTGCTACGCCCGGAGAACCTGTCCAAAGGGAGACCGGCGTCACCCGTGGTCGTGCGTCACTGGGCCAAAGGTTCAGCTGGTGCGTGGCGTAGCGGACTGCCTGAGGCCACAGGAACTGGGGGGCACCGGCATGGCACATGGAGGTCTGGGCAACCTCCATGACCAGGCCGATGTGTCGCTCGGCTACCCCGTTCTGTTGCGGCAAGGCTGGTAGCGTGTAAGATTGGATGATCCCCCGACCCTGACAGAACGTCTCCAGGTGAGCAGAAGAAAACTCACCACCACGGTCCGAGTGGAGGCGGAGCCCACTAAGGGCTTGGGCGCCACCCCTCGCTAGTAGCCACGGCTCGAGGACGGTAGGCACGTCGGCCTTCCGTCGTAGGGGGAAGACCGTGGTGTAGCGGGAGTAGTCGTCCACCACAATCAGGAAGTAGCCCTCTTGACGTGGGCCAAGGACCAGGGAGGGGCCCCAGACGTCCAAGTGCAGGGTCTGGAAGGGAGCCCTGGTGGTGGGGAACGAGGAGGAGTGAGGGGCAGCGCGCTCCCGATCCTCGACGCAAGGAGTGCATGGTGGCGCAGGCGAGCGAGGAAGCGGGGCAAGCGACTGTGGGAGACATGAGACCAGACGGTGACGTGCCATCCTACTGAAACGTGGGAACGACGGGTGACCTAGACGGTGGTGCGAGAGGACCGACGGGTGGGTGAGTGACTGACAGACGCATGACACAGCAGCTACCTGACCTGACCTGACCCAGTGTGGTGAGACCCATCGTGTAGTGAGTACAGACCCGAGCTTGGCTCTCTGTGGAAAGTGGCCAGAGGCGCCCCAGTGGCACCGACTGTGCAGGAGGCAACAGGCTCGTCCTGTGGAAAATTAGTGACTAAGCCTTAGGTCGTGGAGGTGACTGACACCCACCAGGTTCCTGGAGAACCTAGGGGTGTAGTAACCAGTGAGAAACCCAGAGGGAGCCACCGGACACGGGAGAGTGGTGGTGCTGTGGGCAACTGCAGGTCCCACGGAAGGGTCAGCCAAGACGACAGTGACTGGAGTGTGCAGTGGTGTGAGGTCATTACAGTCGCGAAAGAAG